TGTGGTTGTTTCTGTGTGTGTTCTGGGTTAGTATGTTGTGTGGAAGAGGTAGTAGAGACACTGTAGTTTGAATTTGTAGAAAGGAAAAGAGCGTGGGAGGTGACAGTTATCGCTTCTCGGCCTTTTGGCTAAGATCAAGTGTAGTATCTGTTCTTATCAGTTTGATCGCTGATATGTTGACTATATGTCAACATTCGATCAAATGTATTTTTGCTCTTTGGAGAGTGGCTCGAAGCTTGCTTCACCCTCTCCACGGATCACCCTGGTATTGCAGTTCTTCCAGGTGTGGTCCATTTCCCTTCCAGGGATTATAATCAAACTAAAGAAACAATATGCAGAAGGAAATGTTACTGGTCACCCTAAACCTTTCTTACCATGGGTGTGTGAGTAAATGAGTGTGTAGAACAAGTAAAGCGTAGGTCGGGTAGCTACTGGTTTGATTTTGTATCCAGTACCATATTTCGGTGAGCGAATTAATTTTAAAACGGTGATAAATAGGATAGATGTCTGTATTCTGTGACAATATATCTGTGTGCGGCTTATACTGTATAGCAGGAAATTTTCGGACGGAAATATTTTCGGACAAAGCCGAATTTCGACCTTTCGCACGGATTTTATTTTCGTACAGTGCTGCATGCTAAATGCACGTGTTCGCATGCGGTACGGATGTATAGTGTACGTAACTTCACAGGACCAAATTTTAGTACGGAATTAATTTTAGTACAAAAGAGTGCCGTGTACGAAATTGTACGAAAATAAATTCCGTCCGAAAATTTCCTGCTACTGTAAGACATGTTATTATAACGAGTCGCAAATTTAACGATTGTCCGAAATTCATAGGTTAACGAGAAGATTATGTTAACGATCTTGCAGTATTCTGCCATATCCACACACAGCATATATGAAGCAGTACGGCCTCAACGGGTCTTATTATAACGAAGAAATGTCATCCGTTAAAACGTTAGATTTGCTTCCTCGTTATATATACATGTCTTACAGTATACAGTACTCTGGAAACTACAGTGCTACAATAGAGTGCCAGTTTCCAATGAATGGACTGTAGTGTTATGCAGAGTGGTTACTCAGTGGAAGAGTGTGATCTTTTGTCAGGACTCTTGGAAGTAGTTCTTGTTTGGTCGGGGATATACCATAGCCTTTGGGCGCTAGGTGGCCAGAACATGTCCTCATTCGCTAGTTAACGCTCAATGATGGCTAAAGTTTGTCTGGCCATGGCTATGGCAATAAATGTAGTAGTCACTTTAGAAAGCAGACAGTTCTTCTACATTATCCTCTCCTGTTTTGGATTTCAGTATGCCAGCCGTATTAATTTGTATGTAGCAGCCCGGCTAGCTCAGTCGGTAGAGCATGAGACTCTTAATCTCAGGGTCGTGGGTTCGAGCCCCACGTTGGGCGCTCATTTTTGTTTTGGTTCTTTTCCTTTTTTCTATGTTTTCGCGTGACCTCACCCGATGATATCAATAGAGAGGTTCCGGGGTACGATTTTCTGTGCCAAAATCCGTGTGGGCGCTACGGATTTTTTCCAGGCGTGCTCCATACGATTTTTCGGCACGGAGAATCCGTGTGGACTGGCTTTCACACGAACCATGTTTCGTATGGAGATTTTGCGTCACCGGGTGCAGAAAGATTTTTCGCGTGCAAATTTGGTTCTCGTACGAGAAACAACAAACATGGATTTTCCGCAGGAAGTTTTGATTTCGGTACAAATTTTCAAAATAAAAAGGCATAGCGCGGGAATGTGACGTGTTTGGGACCGTAACCTAGGCAATGACGGCAAACACATAAGTTCCGTACTCCGGAACATTTCACTGCTCGAAAACGACGTATAAAAAATCCGTAGCGCCTTTACAGATTTTGGCACGAAAAATCGTACTCCGGAACCTCCCTAATGAGGGAGGGCGAAAAAAATTAAAAAGCCATCCAAAGAAACATTGTACTTTCTCGTGTTTGTGTACATCTTGAGACTGAAGCGGGATTCACAGAAGCTTTTTTGTGATGCGACACGCGATGCGACGTGATCTGCGACGGATGCATGCGATGCGAACTCGCGAAATACCATTGACAGAAGAAGTCAGCGATGCGACAACGTCTTGCTGATTTGGGTACGTCACCATGATATTCGCGCGGTTTGATACAACTTGTACAAATTTATAGGCAACTCTTGAACCTTTGTACAACTTTGCTGTAGAAAAGGTCAAAATCGTACGCCAAATCGCTTGTCGCATCGCATCGCAAAAGTTGAGCCAAGCTCAACTTCTGCGATGGCCTGCAATGGCCCAGTTGCGGCAGTTGCGTGGGGTGCGACATGGCTGCGATTTGGGGTTTTCCCGGTTTCGCACCTGTCGCATCGCGTGTCGCATCGCAAAAAAGCTTCTGTGAATCCCGCTTGAGGCTGCGTTTACACGACAACGCTGGGGGTGAAAACGCAACAAAATCCTTTCGGATGCATGGTTCATTTACATGGTACGAGGAGCAAAAGGTAAAAGTTGTACACCAAAACGGAAGAAAACCAAAACGCTGGCCAAGGTGGAAGAATTTGAAAACGGAAATGTTCTGCAGGATAAATTTGAGTGTGTAAACAGTCGAAACGGTGTGCTGGCCTCGTTTTCGTCACGTTTGTTCCGTTTTTGGGCGTTCACACGGATCCGACAATCCAATTTTTTTACAATTTTCGTCATGTGACAAGTGTAGTTTTGTGGCCTGTTTTCAACTATTACTTGAGTGTGATTGGTGCTTCCAGCCTTCCACGACAACACTTGGCACGTGACGAACTTTTGCGGATCCTTTGCTCCCGTGTAGACGCGCGAAAACGATACAAACGGAGACCACCTCGGATCAGCTTTGATCGTGTAAACGCACGAAAACGAAAAAAAGAAATGCGGGACTGAAAACGGGAAACTGGCCGCGGGTTGTCGTGTAAACGCAGCCTGAGTCGAACTAAACACACTGTTCATGTATAGTTTGACGTGCATACATGCACATTTACATGCATGCATACATGCATTACTCATTTCAATGCAATGAATGTGGCAAAGTTACACACGCGTGCAATCTCTACTGAGTGGTCCCCACTGGCCAAACTCTGTCCATATCAGCTGGATGGGAACATAACGTTTCTGGTCACCCTTCTGCTCACCCTGTGAGCGCACAATATGCTTGTGATCTAAAAACGGGCAGCGATTGCGTGACTTGCGGCCCAGCTTATCCACACACAATACAGCTATGCGTCAATTTATTTGAATCTAGGAGTCGGCGTCGTCTTCTATCAGTATATTGTGCCAGGTGTTTACAGCAGTACTATATGTTATTATCGCGTTTTTGCTGTGGTTCATCACCTTGGCAACCGGTTGACGCGGTGGCGCTTGATGTACAGCTTGTATCTTCTCTTTTCAGTGTTTGTGAGTGTTGTGTGGTTGTTTCTGTGTGTTTTCTAGGTTAGTATGTTGTGTGTTTGTGTGGAAGAGGTAGTAGAGACACTGTAGTTTGAATTTGTAGAAAGGAAAAGAGCGTGGGAGGTGAAAGTTATCGCTTCTCGGCCTTTTGGCTAAGATCAAGTGTAGTATCCGGCTTGCCCGGCTCAGGACGAAACTCTACCGCATGTCCTGAACAACTGCAAGTCGCGCATGGTCGCTATCCGGGAACGCCATAATGCAATCCTCCAACGCCTTCACAAGGCGCTGCCTCGTGGCAATCGTGCGGTCCTCGACCAGAAGCTGCCTGACTGTCCGATCGATCTTCGCGTCGACCTGCAAGTGATTGATCCGGACAAGAAGGTGGCAACCCTGGTGGACGTGGGCATGCCATTCGAGAACGGCTCTGATGCCTTTTCTCGAGTGCGCCAGCGTAAAGAGGAGAAGTACAAGTGCTTGGCAGACTGGCTCAGACAAGAGAAGGGTTTCACGGACGTGTTTGTTGGGGCATTTGTCATCGGTAGCCTGGGCGGCTACGACCCCGACAATGAAACAGTCTTGAACCGGCTTGGGGTGGCGCGGAACTACACGCCGCTGTTCCGCAAACTTTGTGTCGTGGATGCAATTCATGGCAGCTATGAGGTTTGGCGGGAGCGGTGCATTGGGTTCAACCGCCGCCCTGAGTAAACAGGAGGTGAGGGGTTGACAACACCACCGTCACCAATGGTCTCACCACAGCTCTCTTGCGGTCCCATGCAGCAGGGGACCCTCAAATTGTGCTAGCACTGTCTTCGGACAGATGGATGGTACCTCTTTAGGTACATAAGACATCCTGAGCACCTGAGTCTGTTCTTATCAGTTTGATCGCTGATATGTTGACTATATGTCAACATTCGATCAAATGTATTTTTGCTCCTTGGAGGGTGGCTCGAAGCTTGCTTCACCCTCTCCACGGATCACCCTGGTATTGCAGTTCCTCCAGGTGTGGTCCATTTCCCTTCCTGGGATTATAATTAAATATAAGAAAATGTCTAGAACAAATTGGAAGCGTCTCCAATTCTTCAATGTAGCACTTGCATCTGAGCAATCCGCACCGCACCAGTTCAAAAGAGCAGTAGGAAATTTTAGAACCGAGCATTTTCGTTCCCTTCTCTTCATGGGCAAAAAAGACGAAGACAGCAATTCGGTTCTAAAATTTCGTAATGTCTTGGCCGTTCTATTCCGATGTACTCCGTGTGGACCAGGTGCATTGCGGGTCGATTCACATGGCTTCGCCAGTTGTGTGGATTAGACAGTTATCTGGCGCTTGTCTTGATCTGTTTCAATCAGAATCAGATCCGCTATCGTTGTTATAAAGAGAAAATCTGTGGGTGCACATCCAGTGCTTTTGCAGATTTGCGTGCTTCTCTTACGACGGGCGTATACATGGTGTGCGTACGTGTGTGTGTGTGTGTGTGTGTGTGTGTGTGTGTGTGTGTGTGTGTGTGTGTGTGTGTGTACGTACGTGCATGTGCGTGTGCGCTTGCATGTGTGTGTGTGTGTGCGTGCGTGTGTGTCTGTGCCTATTTACAGAATGGCATTGTGAGGATCCATCCGTATTCTACGTCATCATTGGCTCTGTGGTGAGTGGACTATTTGTGTTTTAAGGCATGCTCCGTTGCCATGGTGCCCGCTTGAAAACGACATGGCAGTGGCAGTACATGTACATGGCAGTTGAACTAATAGTTAGGTGCACAAAGCAGTCCTACAGGGCATGCCTTGTGACACGCAGTGCACTAGATCCAAGGAGTTGTATAAATCCAGAGAGATGTTGTCAGGGGGGAGGGAGGGGGGGGGGGGGGGGGGCAGCACGCTAAAGCGCAGTTGATGTGTATCAAACTGAGCCGAAGCACCAAAAAGCTAGCATGCTTAGCCAAATACATGTACACTCGGACGTCTCTTATCCGGGCACCTTGGGACCGGGCACCGCCCGCATCTCAGATTTGCCCGCATCTCAGATTTGCCCGCATCTCAGATTTGCCCGCATCTCAGATTTGCCCGCATCTCAGATTTGCCCGTATCTCAGATTTGCCCGTATCTCAGAGTTGCCCGTATCTCAGAGTTGCCCGTATCTCAGGATAACTCATCTACCACGTATCATCATTTTTGAAGAAGTTTATTTGGCACATATTGCACATGTTCAGGATACAAAAAAATCCACTGATAAAAAAATGTGTGCTTTACACAGCTTGGCAGTGACAAATAAGCACTTGTGCATACCAACAAAGTTCAAACCTCCCAGTTTCGGAGCATTTTTGCCCTAGGAACTCAAGCAGAAGGTGCCCGGTAGAGAGACGTGCCCGTATCTGAGGCGTCCGGATAAGAGACGTTTGAGTGTACCTGAGAAGCTATCAAACTTAGCCAAAGTTCCGAGAAGCTATAAAACTTAGCCAAAGCCCCGAGAAGCTATAATTTATAAAACTTAGCCAAAGCTCGGAGAAGCTATAAAACTTAGCCAAAGCCCTGAGACGCTATAAAACTTAAGCTGTGCTCACAACTGGCGCGTGTACGCGTGCAACCACGCGTTAGTGCGTATTTTTGCCGGCTTTTGGGGCGCCATGCGTACGGAAACGCGCCGAAATGGAACTTCCAACATGTTGGTTTTCAGCTCGTATCAGGCGCGTAGCAGCGTACGTGCCACTCACTTTGACTGGCGGGGTCAACAAATTAGTACTCGAAGGTGTCGCACGCGCTAAATACGACTCGGATTGCTTTTTTTTGTGAAAGCTTGAGCGCGCGTTTTGGCACGCATGAACCGCAAGAGTACCGCGTCTACGCGCCAGTTGTGAACACAGCTTTAGCCAAAGCCCCGAGAAGCTATAAAACTTAGCCAAAGCTCCGAGAAGCTATAAAACTTAGCCAAAGCTCTGAGAAGCTATAAAACTTAGCCAAAGCCCCGAGAAGCTCTAAAACTTAGCCAAAGCCCCGAGAAGCTCTAAAACTTAGCCAAAGCTCGGAGAAGCTATAAAACTTAGCCAAATTCCCGAGAAGCTATAAAACTTAGCCAAAGCCCCAAGAAGCTATAAAACTTAGCCAAAGCTCGGAGAAGCTATCAAACTTAGCCAAAGCTCCGAGAAGCTATAAAACTTAGCCAAAGCCCTGAGAAGCTCTAAAACTTAGCCAACGCCCCGAGAAGCTATAAAACTTAGCCAAAGCTCCGAGAAGCTATAAAACATAGCCAAAGTTCCGAGAACCTCTAAAACTTAGCCAAAGCCCCGAGAAGCTATAAAACTTAGCCAAAGCCCCGAGAAGCTATAAAACGTAGCCAAAGCCACGAGAAGCTATAAAACTTAGCCAAAGCCTCGAGAAGCTATAATACTTAGCCAAAGCTCCGAGAAGCTATCAAACTTAGCCAAAGCCCGGAGAAGCTATAAAACTTAGCCAAAGCCCCGAGAAGCTATTGAACTTAGCCAAAGCCCCGAGAAGCTATAAAACTTAGCCAAAGCCCCGAGAAGCTATAAAACTTAGCCAAAGCCTCGAGAAGCTATAATACTTAGCCAAAGCCCCGAGAAGCTATAAAACTTAGCCAAAGCTCCGAGAAGCTATAAAACTTAGCCAAAGCCCCGAGAAGCTCTAAAACTTAGCCAAAGCCCCGAGAAGCTCTAAAACTTAGCCAAAGCTCCGAGAAGCTATAAAACTTAGCCGAAGCCCCGAGAAGCTATAAAACTTAGCCAAAGCCCCGAGAAGGTATAAAACTTAGCCAAAGCCCCGAGAAGCTATAAAACTTAGCCAAAGCTTCGAGAAGCTATAAAACTTAGCCAATCCCTCGAGAAGCTATAATACTTAGCCAAAGCCCCGAGAAGCTATAAAACTTAGCCAAAGCCCCGAAAAGCTATAAAACTTAGCCAAAGCCCCAAGAAGCTATAAAACTTAGCCAAAGCCCCGAGAAGCTCTAAAACTTAGCCAAAGCTCGGACAAGCTATAACACTTAGCCAAAGCTCGGAGAAGCTATGAAACTTAGCCAAAGCCCCGAGAAGCTATAAAACTTAGCCAAAGCCCCAAGAAGCTAGAAAACTTAGCCAAAGCTCGGAGAAGCTATCAAACTTAGCCAAAGCTCCGAGAAGCTATAAAACTTAGCTAAATTCCCGAGAAGCTATAAAACTTAGCCAAAGCCCGAAGAAGCTGTAAAACTTAGCCAAAGCTCGTAGAAGCTATCAAACTTAGCCAAAGCTCCGAGAAGCTATAAAACTTAGCCAAAGCCCCGAGAAGCTATAAAACTTAGCCAAAGTTCCGAGAACCTCTAAAACTTAGCCAAAGTTCCGAGAACCTCTAAAACTTAGCCAAAGCCCCGAGAAGTTATATAACTTAGCCAAAGCCCCGAGAAGCTATAAAACTTAGCCAAAGCCACGAGAAGCTATACAACTTAGCCAACGCCTCGAGGAGCTATAATACTTAGCCAAAGCTCCGAGAAGCTATAAAACTTAGCCAAAGCCACGAGAAGCTATAAAACTTAGCCAAAGCCTCGAGAAGCTATAATACTTAGCCAAAGCTCCGAGAAGCTATAAAACTTAGCCAAAGCCCCAAGAAGCTATAAAACTTAGCCAAAGCTCACAGAAGCTAGAAAACTTAACCAAAGCTCCGAGAAGCTGTAGAACTTAGCCAAAGCCCCGAGAAGCTATAAAACTTAGCCAAAGCCCCAAGAAGCTATAAAACTTAGCCAAAGCTCGGAGAAGCTATAACACTTAGCCAAAGCTCGGAGAAGCTCTAAAACGTAGCCAAAGCTCCGAGAAGCTATAAAACTTAGCCGAAGCCCCGAGAAGCTATAAAACTTAGCCAAAGCCCCGAGAAGCTATAAAACTTAGCCATAGCCCCGAGAAGCTAGAAAACTTAGCCAAAGCTCCGAGAAGCTAGAAAACTTAGCCAAAGCCCCGAGAAGCTATCAAACTTAGCCAAAGCTCCGAGAAGCTATCAAACTTAGCCAAAGCTCCGAGAAGCTATAAAACTTAGCCAAAGCCCTGAGAAGCTGTAAAACTTATCCAAAGCTCGGAGAAGCTATCAAACTTAGCCAAAGCCCCGATAAGCTATAAAACTTAGCCAAAGCCCCGAGAACCTATAAAACTTAGCCAAAGCCCCGAGAAGCTATTTACTAAGTAGCCAAAGTCCCGAGAAGCTATAAAACTTAGCCAAAGCCCCGAGAAGCTATAAAACTTAGCCAAAGCCCCGAGAAGCTACAAAACTTAGCCAAAGCCCCGACAAGCTAGAAAACTTAGCCAAAACCCCGAGAAGCTATCAAACTTAGCCAAAGCTCGGAGAAGCTATAAAACTTAGGCAAAGCCCCGAGAAACTCTAAAACTTAGCCAAAGCTCCGAGAAGCTATGAAACTTAGCCAAAGTCCCGAGAAGCTATAAAACTTAGCCCAAGCCCCGAGAAGCTATAAAACTTAGCCAAAGCCCCGAGAAGCTATAAAACTTAACCAAAGCCCTGAGAACCTATAAAACTTAGCCAAAGCTCGGAGAAGCTATCAAACTTAGCCAAAGCTCCGAGAAGCTATAAAATTTAGCCAAAGTCCCGAGAAGCTATAAAACTTAGCCCAAGCTCCGAGAAGCTATACAACTTAGCCAAAGTCCCGAGAAGCTATAAAACTTAGCCAAAGCCCCAAGAAGCTATACAACTTCGCCAAAGCTCGGAGAAGCTATCAAACTTAGCCAAAGCTCCGAGAATCTCTAAAACTTAGCCAAAGCCCCGAGAAGCTATAAAATTTAGCCAAAGCCCCGAGAAGCTATAAAACTTAGCCAAAGCTCCGAGAAGCTATAAAACTTAGCCAAAGTTCCAAGAAGCTCTAAAACTTAGCCAAAGCCCCGAGAAGCTCTAAAACTTAACCAAAGCTCCGAGAAGCTATAAAACTTAGCCGAAGCCCCGAGAAGCTATAAAACTTAGGCAAAGCCCCGAGAAGCTATAAAACTTAGCCAAACCTCGGAGAAGCTCTAAAACTTAGCCAAAGCTCGGAGAAGCTATAAAACGTAGCCAAAGCTCCGAGAAAGTCTAAAACTTAGCCAAAGCCCCGAGAAGCTATAAAACTTAGCCAAAGTTCCGAGAAGCTATAAAACTTAGCCGAAGCCACGAGAAGCTATAAAACTTAGCCAAAGCCTCGAGAAGCTATAATACTTCGCCAAAGCCCCGACAAGCTCTAAAACTTAGCAAAAGCTCGGAGAAGCTATAAAACTTAGCCAAAGCCCCGAGAAGCTAGAAAACTTAGCCAAAGCTCCGAGAAGGTCTAAAACTTAGCCAAAGCCCCGAGAAGCTATAAAACTTAGCCAAAGCTCCGAGAAGCTATAAAACTTAGCCAAAGCCACGAGAAGCTGTAAAACTTAGCCAAAGCCTCGAGAAGCTATAATACTTAGCCAAAGCCCCGAGAAGCTCTAAAACTTAGCCAAAGCTCGGAGAAGCTGTAAAACTTAGCCAAAGCCCCGAGAAGCTCTAAAACTTAGCCAAAGGTCAGAGAAGCTATACAACTTAGCCAAAGCCCCGAGAAGCTATAAAACTTAGCCCAAGCCCCGAGAAGCTATAAAACTTAGGCAAAGCTCGGAGAAGCTCTAAAACTTAGGCAAAGGTCGGAGAAGCTATGAAACTTAGCCAAAGCCCC